CGTGGGGGGGCTTGGGGTGGGGGGGGGGCTGGAGACCCAGGACAACACTGAGAAGCCCGCATCTCTTTGAAGAGTGCCCCAATTTCCATATTTCATTACACATTGCTGACTGACAAGGCCCAGCCAGATGTTCTATTTTCAGCTATTTAAATTTTGACCTGCTTTCCTATCACAGAAAAAGAAAGACAGAGAGAAAACAGATTTCATCAAGACACAGATGCCAAGGATGATGGGATCTTGGATATGGAGTAACTGCTAGTTTTTGCTACAGTTCTTCATGTACCAAACCACTGAGAGAGTAAACACACCTGTTTCTCCTTGGCTTGACATGTTCTTTTTCATTACAGACATTTGGTTGAGGATGCAGTCTGAGTGGTTCACCGTCTTGCTCAAAAACGCTTTAATAAGATACACTGGGATCAAACCTGAGACCTTGTATTTATGAGACATTGTGTAACCATTCAGCCAGCCCGGCGTTGAGCTACCTCCCAAAGTGAGTGATGCGTGCTCTGAAACACCACATAAAGCCTGCTCACACAGCCTCTGTGTCCCTGAGACATCAAGGATGATTAATTTTTGTGGTATTCTTGTTGAAATGGCTGTTAAACTGCAGCGTCCTTACTCAATCCCTCATGGAAAAATACATCACAACTGTGACCTTTTTGTGCATCTGCTGCAAATGGCACTTTTTCATCCTGAGTTTGGTCGCTCAAGGATCAATGTGAATTTGCTAGAATAAAACTTTAACAATGAACTCCCTGTCTGCTGCCTGCCTGGGCTTCATGAAGGTAAAGCAAAAAAAAAAAAGGCTCTTGAAAAAGGAGGAATGAGGAAGGTGAGAGAGAAAACTACAGGACAAAGCAGGGGTGAAACAGCAAAATCAGTTTGGAGTTGAACACCAAATGGCAAAAAATGAGAGGTGCTTTCTCTGTGTAGAATCAAAGGGAGAAAGGCGTTTGCTCATTACTCAACACGACTCACAGCAGCGAGGAGGAAGCAGTTTATTCATTCAGTAATTCATCTGCGAGTGTATCTGTCTTTGTATGAGACAGTGAAAATAGAGAGGTAATTGAGTGGCATTACAGAGGCAATACTGACAAAGAGATAAAAGTGGATAATAGATATCTCTCTGTGTTTTTTCTTCTTGGTCTAGAGCATTGATTTGTTTCTGCTTACCATCATTCTGTGTGAAATATGTGTAACATAAAAATCCAAAGAGGTTGCATATATTTCTGGCCACTGCAGATGGTGAACTTTTCTTGAGCAGTAGAATACAACAACATGTACAAATTGGGAGTTTATAAGAAGTGAAAAAGATTGTACTTTTTTACTTGCTACATTTATTTGCTAACTTTAGTTACTGGTTACTTTTCAGAATGGGATTAATAAAACAAAATGCAGTATAATCACAACCCCTGGAGAGAAATTCACATGCTACCCAGGAGAATGTAAAATACTTATAATCATATACTAAGCTAATTAAAAGTAGCTCCACCTTTACCAGCTGCAACATTAAATGTGATGTACACAATAATACATCAATAATAATAATTAAATAATACGATATACATTAATGTGAATGTGCCATTCTGCATAATGAGTACTTTTACTTTTAGTACTTCAAGTATAGTTTGATGCCAATACTTTTGTACTTTTTGTCAAATGACATTTTGAATGGCAGGACTTTTACTTTACACTGTGGTTTTGCTAATTTTACTTAAGTAAACAATCTGAGTATTTCTTCCACCGCTGCTAAAAATCCACCATACTTCGAGCAAACAGACAAAACAACCTTTTTGGAGAATTCAGCAACTAAATCATTAGCTATTTATATGGGAGTTGGAGGAGAGCAAAACAGAACTAAAACGAGAGTGAATACTCGACATGGACACAAACACAGCTCCAAATGACCGATAATGTTGTTCGCTTTCTGCTGAATATATAAATTATTTATTATTATTTGAAGACACGTCTACAGCTAATAATTTTCCTGGGTAGTGGTATGTTAGTGTTTTGTTTGCAGCTCCTTGTGCTAGCTCCAACTGGGAGCAAAAAAATCAATTAGTGCAAGCTGAAAGCAGCAACGTTTAACATAAGTAAAAAGGATATATCACCACTGTGTGTGTGTATGTGTGTGTGTGTTGGGGGGGTCGGCTGTGGAGAAAAAGATTATTTTCTCAGCAGTAATGGTTTCACATTGATTACAAAACATGTAATTTCAGTAAGGTCAGCGGCACCTGCACTTCTGCATAATCCTTACGGCTGAGCGTTTGTGATCACAGTGATAAAATTAAAACACTCAAAAATAAAAATACTTCAAAAGAGAACACAGGTGTCTAGCTGCTGCTGACAGACCATACTTGTGTATGATGGAACCAAAAGTCACAAATGCCTTATGCCATATTGTGCAGGGCTTCTTTCTTGTGAACTATAAGCATTGAAGACATCTGTGCATGTGTGTGGGTGTACAATGACACAGATGTATCAGTTTTATTAATCATTCCTTTTCTTGCACTGACTTTGAAACTTACACAAGCACTATGAAAATGCTTTAAAGGGGACTTTGTTAGTATGAATGGTGCAGGAGTCTCTGCATTCCCTGTGTTTCTAGACTATACCTGACCTTTGGCATGACCTTTAGAAGACAATTTGCAGCAGTAGCGATCACCTTGCACCTTGCTTCACATTATTCTCCCTCATTATTTCTTTCAAAGTCAGTTCTGCAGTGTGGCAGAAATGGGCTGGATTCAACAGAGGGATCAGGGGTCAGCTGGAGGAGGGTAAAGATGCAGGTCAGACCGGCTGTATAGTTGGGTTCAGCCAGCATCCTCAGAGAATTCATCGCCACAAAGCTATTTGAACTATGGAACCTGTAGCTGTCAAAAACTGACACTTAGTGTCACCTGTTGTTGTTTTTGGTGATTAGGAAAAGTTCCTCAGTCACCAGAAATGTACCAGACACAGGCTTTAATGCCAGGCAACAAAATATTTAATGTGTAAAGAAAATCAGTTTTTATTTTTATCATTAGACCATTGCCCCAGGTTATCTGACCAAATTCAGTAAATAAAAACAGTCATTATGAAATGCCTCTAGAAAGTTTTAACCATGCTGGATTTGCTGCTGCCATTCACCCTTTTCTTAAAATGTTATATTTTTAGATTGTTTTTATGTGTGAATGAAGCATTTATCTCTATTTGTGTTTGCAAATATACTTGTCTCAGACTACCATATGGGGGACAAATACAAGATTTTAATTCAAGGATTAAACAATCATGACAAGAGAAAGTCTTCATTGTAAAGTTTTTATTCTTCATTTGTAGCAGTACTGCCTTACAAAATCACTGATGCAAAAATGTTAATATTTTTAGGTCACAAAGTGTATACATTCCCTTATAAGCAGAGTATTTTTCAGTCGTGTTCTGTACACACCCTGAAAACCAAACTTTAGGTTGCTTTTATTTCCCAAGCATATGTTTTCTTATTAATATCAGATATAACAAGAAACCTTAAATATGACTTAACACATTCTATATTTCAGGGTGGAATCATTTTTACTTGGTTAGTGGGTGGTCGGTACACAGAGAAGGAAAGCTAATTTCTCCTATCCTAACAGTGGCAGCATGGAATAAAATATTAAAAAAGGTTTTCTTAATCTGAGTGATTCATTAAGGCACTGGTGTTTGCTGTCCAGGCACACAGCATGGGGGAAAGCTGAGTGCTTAGAGCCAACAAAATGAAGCACTGGTACACACTGTGCCAGGAGCTATTTTTCATTTCCCCAGGTGAGAAGATGAAAAGAGATACGTATGTGGAGAGCTCCTGCCATGGAGAGGCTGGGTGAAGATTTAGACATGGGCTTCTATTCAGATATGAAGGTCTCCTTGACATTTTCTGCACTGCACTGGCTGCTCATCCTTGTCGCTTTTCTTCAAGCTGCAGATGGAACAGCGTGACCTGTTGACATTTACAGACTCATCTGGCTGAGAGCGATGGCATTCTATAAGGAGAAACGCTGAATGTCCCACCAGAGTCCTGTTTCCACCTCTCAGTATAACACATGAACATGTCGCTGCTCTAAGCCAACAGGTACCCTTGCAGGCAGCAAGTCGTGTTGTTTCACTGTGCTTCAGGAGTCTATAATTAAATAACTTTCTATACAGCAACAGCACTGGGCAGCTTGTATGCCTCATAAACAGGACAAATACTGATGAGGTTTTAATGACACTGTCTGGACTGCTGCCATGAAAGGCAGCCCACTGTTCAAATGTGACCAGATTAAAGTCTGCCTGTGAGGTTAACAATAAGGCTCTGGATACTACCCAAGAATAGTGTGGCACAGAATTCACCATCAGCTGGCAGGGGCAAGACAAAGGTGAAATGAAGTGAAAGCAAAGCACATGCAGCAACAACAGAGCATGACATAACTAAACAGATAGGGGAGTGTGGTCTTAATGCAAATAAAAATGTGTGATACACAACTGAAAACATGACCCTAGATAAAGGACATGGAAGACCAAGTGCCTACAAATATAATCACAATAAATCAAACAGGTTCTTTTCTCTGTATGGAGGAGAAAAGACTCCTTTACTTTATTGGCAACCACTGGAAATGAGAAATATAACAAGATTCCAAAAAGCCAAAGGGAAGCAATGAGGAAACAAATATGAAATCAATGTGCGGATTTAGCTTCAGCATCCCTCAGGTTCACAGAGTAATTTGAAATGGGGCTGTGCGGGTCAGCTCATCTTTGTGCCTTGAAGTCCAGCAGATGGGCTCTTTAGAAATCAGGACGATCCTTCTTCAGCTTGCTGTAGTCCATGTTGACTGCGAAAAACTGATGATACAAACAAGTCTTAGCTCAAGAGCAAACATGGGTATTTCCCATAAAAATTACGACCAACAAAAAGTGAACTCATGTGACTTGATATTCATGTTTATGGTGCATGGTACAGAATAACGCCCCCAGGTTTGTGAAATTTCAAAAGAAAATTTTCTTGTAGTAATGTAAAATACTTCTCTAAATACTTTTGTATTGTGTTCTAGAAACTCCAACTATTACTCTGATTAAATGTGAACAGTTAATGACTTCATCATATTTGCTACTAGTCAGCAGTAAACCGATTATGTCATTTGACTAATCCAATGAAGGATACAAACCACAGCTCGCTCCGTCTGCTCAAGTCTGACAAAGATCTATGCCATGCTCCCTGAATAAAACCACCTACACTGTTCAGCCAGAAAATCGTGACTGTAATACAGCATGATTAACATGACATTCCGAGTCTGTGGCACACCTTGTACTGATCAGTTGGGCCCAGCTTGTTCCAGGGCTCTGGGTTGTTCTTGCGATCCCAGCTGCAGAGGAAAAAAAAAAAACAGGCACACCTTAGACCGACAGGCAAGTAGCAACAGATTTTCTTGTAATCTGTAAGTAAATGCAGCACTGCCAATTTCCCTACTTTTAATTTCATCTTTAAATCTCATTAGACATGCTGTACCCAGCTCCCACTAACTATTTTGAAAAAGGGCAAAATATAAAAACAAGGACGTCTGTGCCATGACTGAGTCCTTACCACACATCAGGGTTTCTCAAACCCAGACGAGCGAGGTACAACATGGACATGGTTACTCCTCCACCAATGAAGAAGAAGAGGGGGATAAGCTGCCAATGAATCAGAAAGGTAAGAAACCTTTATCAACTTAAGGGCAAGTGCCCAAGAGAGGACTGCATCAATAAACACACAGACTGCTGACAGATTGTGCACATTGAAATCACTACCCTGCACAACTATCCAGGAAAGCACCGACTGTTGATCATAAAATTCTACTTGGGTAAAATTAAACATTGGCACTACCTCAGATTATTTACCCTTGCAAACGTCAGATGTCATGTGTCGAAATGCTATTGCTAACGCCACCTAGCCTGTTAAAGCACTAGCAGTCTATCAGCTGCCATTTCAGCGCAGCAGAGCCTCTTGGCTAATCATCAGCTGCCGTCGTGACCTATTCTGACACAAAGGCACCTGCCAAGACTGGCATTAGAACACAGGTCACTAGGAAATGTGTTTTACTACATAACTGTAACAGATTAAAATAAAAAGAATGAAATAAAGTGGGGTATCTCCACTAACATGTTGAATAAAATGTCTCAAAGTCAGCTCGGTCAAAGCCCGAGTACTCGCCTTCTAAAGCTAGCAATGCTAAAATGTTTAGCTAAGCTAAGTTAGCTACAAAGATTCACAATGATCCAAGTTCAGACAAAGCTTTCCACATAAGTATTTCTTGAATGTAATTGGACTGTACTTACGGCTGGGTGATTTCTAAGTTGTCTACGGATCACGGCGAACATGCTGATGTCTGAGAAGTGTGACTTATTAGGATAACTGTTTGTAAAGAGTACCACCAAAACCTAACCGTGCGCAACTGAGTCTGCGGGCGGAAGAAAGGCTGACGAAAGACAAATAGGATGTTATACATAATGCCTGTCCACCAGTGGCGAAAAGGCGTGGTTCTTAATTATTAAAATTCCTATGTTGGACATTTATGTCATAATGCGTGTAATAAATATGGAGCCATTTGCACAGTTTCCTCATCATGCTGCTGCTGGACTTTATTTCCCCACATATTTTTATTCTGGCAAAGCTAAAGTCACCAGTTTTCAACCCAAACGCAAAACCAATTCATGCACCAACACTGAACGCAGGTCCTCCTTAATGAGTTTTTACACGGTTTATATATTAATGCGCATTTAATTCTGTTTTACATACTGAAATGTTGGTGTGGTGAATAATTATATGAAATTGTAGAATTTACTTTGCCTCAACTTACATTAGTTTAGTTTTCTATAGATAAAATGGCTGCGTTTAATTAAAAATATAGATGTGAATCATTAGTAGCAGTGACATGGCGATAATAGAAACAGTTTACTATTTAATCCAGTCTGATTTAGAGGAACCGTGTGTATTCACAGTGAAAGCAGTGGTCGCGGTTTCCCTTCATCAGACAAGAATAAAACTACATTCATTTGAAAGAAAACTAATGTACTTTAAACCTCACGTTTAAGATTCCAAGTCCTTCTTTTCGTAACCACCTTCTCAAGTGCGTTTGTTTATCTCAGAGAAAACTGATCTTGAGGCGCCTCATATGCAGAAGTCTGTTCTTTCTGTTGACAACAGGGTGCCAAGTTGCTGTACTTCTGATATTTCTGTAATGCCTTTATAAATTCAATGTGCAATCCCATTATCAAAGTGTGTTTACTGGTGTTTTTAAAGCAGCCAACAGACATACATGGCTTCTAAAAATGTCAAAACATTGTGTTTTTTTATGTTTATTTATTGATTGCTATTTTTTCAGACAGAACTTTCACCAACCTTTTTTAATGAAATGTGGTAAACCAAAAAGTTGGCAATATACTTTTAAATAATAATAATTTATTAACAAGCTGCCTAACAGACACATAAGTCACTGGAGGTCATGATCTTAACTCTTAGCATTAATAAGTATTGCAAAATACACATTTGAGTCTATTTTTGAATTTCCAACCAGCTGTACCCCATCAGAGATGAGAATCTCAGCTAACTGATGTGAGCCAGTGAAGTGAAGTCTCTGTAATTAAACAATGAAATATTTTGGTTATTTTCAACTTGTAGAAAAAGTAAAAATAATGCAATAGCAAGACTGCACATAACACAACAGGCCATATACAATCACTTATATATTTTAAAAAGGGCATGACACTTGCCAATTCTTTACCAAGAAATAAGATACATATGTGATGATGACATATTCAAGCAACAATTTGTAAACCAAACCTTAGTTGGTGGCAAGCTTTTGAATGAAATGCTGGAAATGTTTATCTTGAACCTTGTTTGGTTCAACTTCCATCCGAGGGAGGTGAGCTGGTTTCAGAAACAATAAAGATGTCTAAATACAGTATTTTCCACCTGTGAACTTCCATCAGTCCAAATTCCTCCACTAACGTACAGCAGCTTGTGGTAAAAAAAGCAAAACAAAAACAAAACGTGAATGGCTTATCACAGTTCCTTCCGGAGTTGATCCCAAGAAAAACATGTTTCTTCAATATATCAACAGAACACAAAAGCGAAAGCTGACACTACCACAACTACAGTATCTATAAAATACAGTTATGTTAAAAATCTGACTGTACTTGAACAAATCAGAGGCACACACATTAGCTTGTAGAGGATGTTGTATGAAAATAAGATACTTGCTATAAAGTGTTTGCATTTGTTCTGCTATGTTTGTCTCTCTCTCTCTCTCTCTCTCTCAAGTACTCCAGATGTTTTAGTGTGTTGTCTTCTTGGGGGTTTTGCCAAATTTAGCATCCAATCCGAGACCTAAAGTGAGAAAAACAAAGATGTAATTAAGGAGCAAAGGAAAGCCTCAGCAGCTCAACATACTGTATTTTACACTCTGAATTTAAACAACAGAATTACCAATTTAACCAATAAAACATTCAAAATATGAGCAGTCTGGTACCTCTTCTATATGTTAATATCAAAAGTATCGACTCCCCCTTTTGTTTTGCTTTTTTACCACAAGCTGCTGTACGTTAGTGGAGGAATTTGGACTGATATATCCTCAACGCATAATTTATCAGTCAACAAAATGGTTTGTGTGGGAAGCCTAAGTATTCCCCAGTTGGACCTAGTTGTTTGTCATCCCAAACACCTACAGTAACTGTCTCACACTACAGCTGCTGAAAGCTCCAGTCATGTTTTTTTTTTTTTTTTTGTCATCTGCCACTAATTTTAGTGGTAAATGAGAAAAGTGGGAGATCATTGAGGGAAGGGTGTTAAGCCAGAATTAGTTCTCACCAAGGAAAACTAGGATGGTGCCAACCCACTGCATCATAGTCATGACGTTGCCAAACAGAATAACAGAGCCAAGGATGGTGAAGAACTTCCTCGTGGTGGTGACGATGGAGCAGGTCAAAGGCCCAAAGTATACCACCGTCATAAAGATGAAGGTCTAGTAAATGATTGAATTAAAAAATAAATCAGCAAATGTCATTTCAATACAAACAGAAAGCTTTTTTTTCCCCTCTCTCTTAATACAACAATCCCATTCACCAGTGGTCAGTTCAGCCACCCACCTGGCCTAAAGCACTGGTTAGTCCAAACAGAAGAATGTTGTAGAAGATGTTTGGGTGGCGTTCAGTGAAACTCAGGAACTCCCATACCTCCCCTGTCCACAGCACAGCTGAGGGCAGAGAGAAACAAAGCAGTGACAGAAAAAGAAAACATGTTATTTCAAGACACAAGCCAGTAATTAATGTCACGTTGTTCTGCCTTAGTTGCACTGTCCTTGACAATGGTGCTGAGAAAATTCCATCAGTGTTTATAGCATGGGTGTATAGCACCACCAAGTGGTTTAACCTTTACCTTCGGAGAAGTACCAGCACTTCACAGCTACCAAAGGCAGATTTTAATAAAGGTAGTAGGAGTGTACCCAAGTGTGTGTATTTTTCATAACGGCCTAGAGATGGAATGAACTCTCATGAAAAGCATATATATATAAATGAAAAACAGCAGCTGTGCAGGGGAGATGGAAGCACACTCAGAAATATCAGGTACTGAAAATTAGTTTGTTAAAAGAACGATAACAGTTTCTCAGTTCTCATATTGGCTTTGACCTTTTGATCTTTATCATACAGCCCATTAGTGCCAAACCTTAGAAAGGCCCTGGCTATTTTGTATTTGTTTTATGTGGTGTTCTCCATCATATTATAGCAACCTCACAGAACCAGAGGCTTTGAGGGGGAGGATTTCTTTTCTATAAAGATTACACTGAATACTTTGCCTTGACTGCATTAAGGAATTTTTGGCTCCTGAGAGCACAGCATTCACCTCTTCTCAGACAGCATCTAATACAGCTATTAGTGGTTTATTGTTTTTACTTATTTGGATTGCCTTTAGCTATGGCAGCACTGCAGCTACTCATCCTGGGGTACCAGTGAGAATTTATTGTAACATTACAAGTCAACATAACAATTGATCATCATCATCATCATCATCATCCTCCTTTATTAGCAGACTCAAGGTCCATACAAAAAAGAAATAAAAAAAGAAAGGATATAAAAGAAGAAAAAAAAAAATACAAATCATAAAAGACATTTATACCAATGTTTCCACAGAGAGGATTGGTAACGTACTACACTAAAACCAGGATTAGCCAGCATCATTATAAGACAGTTCTCAGAGTTATCCACACGACAGATAAATCTGTACATCAGGTTTCTCATTATTTCTAATGTCATTTCTAATGACATCACCTTTTAATAACACAGCACATTATTATAGTGACAAAATTATTAAAACTCATTAAAGTGACATGGCATTGTTGCAGTTTCAGCTGCATTGAACCACAATAATTAGCAAAAACATCAAGTAGTTTAAGACAGGATGTCTTGCTTTGGACTTTCAGTACAAATCACCAGGCACTTCAGACTTAAGTAGTGATGGGTGGACTCTAAACAGCGCATCAATACGCTTCAAACCACTTCCATCTTGAAGTACTGCTTGGGGGCGTGTATCAAAATGGCCAAGTCACATGACTGATTCACATTGGTTCATGAAACTTTTCATATTTTAGCAGTTCACCACTAGGGGCCAATGGAACATACTGCTGATCTAGAGTCAGTTGACAGTTGCACTACCTGAATAGCCAAATAAGAGTTTGGGCTGATCCTCAGTCAGTGAATCCTGTTACTTGTAGCTCATCAGATGTGCCCACATCCATTTAAACACAATAAAAGTCTGAAAGTGTGGGGTTTTGTGTAGGAGAAAGACAAACGCATTTGATATTTAAAGAGGATGATTTGGATGATGGAGGGAGCAAGAAAAAGAACAAGGTCACTTGTATGGGAATATTTTTGAACTTTTGCAGCCCTATTTAATCAAATGTAACCAACATCTGCAGTTTTATAACACCACATCACATCATCAGTGTTAAGACACCTCCGTTCTAAGCATCCAGAGGATTTAAATCATGGGCCTACAGCAGTGCAAAAAAAAAGAAAACAGTTCCTCACCTACAGTATAGCTCCAGCCACAAGTACTTCACATCAGAGAATGTAGGCCTGCTTTCTACAAACAGGTTTGATGAAAATGTATAGTCATTTTGAAAGTATATAAAAATAAATACCTTCTTGTATGTGACACACATCTATAAGTAGAACATAAATAATATACACAAGCTTTACTGTTGTCACAACATAAAGATGAAGGTCTAGTAAATGATTGAATTAAAAAATAAATCAGCAAATGTCATTTCAATACAAACAGAAAGCTTTTTTTTCCCCTCTCTCTTAATACAACAATCCCATTCACCAGTGGTCAGTTCAGCCACCCACCTGGCCTAAAGCACTGGTTAGTCCAAACAGAAGAATGTTGTAGAAGATGTTTGGGTGGCGTTCAGTGAAACTCAGGAACTCCCATACCTCCCCTGTCCACAGCACAGCTGAGGGCAGAGAGAAACAAAGCAGTGACAGAAAAAGAAAACATGTTATTTCAAGACACAAGCCAGTAATTAATGTCACGTTGTTCTGCCTTAGTTGCACTGTCCTTGACAATGGTGCTGAGAAAATTCCATCAGTGTTTATAGCATGGGTGTATAGCACCACCAAGTGGTTTAACCTTTACCTTCGGAGAAGTACCAGCACTTCACAGCTACCAAAGGCAGATTTTAATAAAGGTAGTAGGAGTGTACCCAAGTGTGTGTATTTTTCATAACGGCCTAGAGATGGAATGAACTCTCATGAAAAGCAATCAACCCTTTTTTTATATATATATATATATAAATGTAATACAGCAGCTGTGCAGGGGAGATGGAAGCACACTCAGAAATATCAGGTACTGAAAATTAGTTTGTTAAAAGAACGATAACAGTTTCTCAGTTCTCATATTGGCTTTGACCTTTTGATCTTTATCATACAGCCCATTAGTGCCAAACCTTAGAAAGGCCCTGGCTATTTTGTATTTGTTTTATGTGGTGTTCTCCATCATATTATAGCAACCTCACAGAACCAGAGGCTTTGAGGGGGAGGATTTCTTTTCTATAAAGATTACACTGAATACTTTGCCTTGACTGCATTAAGGAATTTTTGGCTCCTGAGAGCACAGCATTCACCTCTTCTCAGACAGCATCTAATACAGCTATTAGTGGTTTATTGTTTTTACTTATTTGGATTGCCTTTAGCTATGGCAGCACTGCAGCTACTCATCCTGGGGTACCAGTGAGAATTTATTGTAACATTACAAGTCAACATAACAATTGATCATCATCATCATCATCATCATCCTCCTTTATTAGCAGACTCAAGGTCCATACAAAAAAGAAATAAAAAAAGAAAGGATATAAAAGAAGAAAAAAAAAAATACAAATCATAAAAGACATTTATACCAATGTTTCCACAGAGAGGATTGGTAACGTACTACACTAAAACCAGGATTAGCCAGCATCATTATAAGACAGTTCTCAGAGTTATCCACACGACAGATAAATCTGTACATCAGGTTTCTCATTATTTCTAATGTCATTTCTAATGACATCACCTTTTAATAACACAGCACATTATTATAGTGACAAAATTATTAAAACTCATTAAAGTGACATGGCATTGTTGCAGTTTCAGCTGCATTGAACCACAATAATTAGCAAAAACATCAAGTAGTTTAAGACAGGATGTCTTGCTTTGGACTTTCAGTACAAATCACCAGGCACTTCAGACTTAAGTAGTGATGGGTGGACTCTAAACAGCGCATCAATACGCTTCAAACCACTTCCATCTTGAAGTACTGCTTGGGGGCGTGTATCAAAATGGCCAAGTCACATGACTGATTCACATTGGTTCATGAAACTTTTCATATTTTAGCAGTTCACCACTAGGGGCCAATGGAACATACTGCTGATCTAGAGTCAGTTGACAGTTGCACTACCTGAATAGCCAAATAAGAGTTTGGGCTGATCCTCAGTCAGTGAATCCTGTTACTTGTAGCTCATCAGATGTGCCCACATCCATTTAAACACAATAAAAGTCTGAAAGTGTGGGGTTTTGTGTAGGAGAAAGACAAACGCATTTGATATTTAAAGAGGATGATTTGGATGATGGAGGGAGCAAGAAAAAGAACAAGGTCACTTGTATGGGAATATTTTTGAACTTTTGCAGCCCTATTTAATCAAATGTAACCAACATCTGCAGTTTTATAACACCACATCACATCATCAGTGTTAAGACACCTCCGTTCTAAGCATCCAGAGGATTTAAATCATGGGCCTACAGCAGTGCAAAAAAAAAGAAAACAGTTCCTCACCTACAGTATAGCTCCAGCCACAAGTACTTCACATCAGAGAATGTAGGCCTGCTTTCTACAAACAGGTTTGATGAAAATGTATAGTCATTTTGAAAGTATATAAAAATAAATACCTTCTTGTATGTGACACACATCTATAAGTAGAACATAAATAATATACACAAGCTTTACTGTTGTCACAATTTATTTACACACAGTGATATTGTGAAAATGACTCAATCATGAATCATTAAATCACTATGTTGGCAGTTTCCATTATATTTACAGGCATTTGGTCAGTAGATGTCACCTGCGTGGGTGATTCATAAGTTTCAAAACAACCATTTTCCAAAGCAATTGGTTCAAAGCTTCGGAAAGCCTTGTTTCTGACATCACTACTTTTAATTAGCCACAGATTGGCAACTGTACATGACATGTACAGCACTGCTGCAAAACTAAAAAAAATACTTATGTACAGTATAGTGTATAATGTGGCATTGGTGAGCATGTAATCAAGTTAAAAATTTTAACTTTCAGCTCAAGGACAGGCAACTATGTGCCACAACATACAAACACTACACCAACAATCAGCACTGGTTTGTGTTAGGGTGATTTTTATTTTTAGATAGTGTAAGATTTTATAAGCTATTATTTCTGTGTAGCTTCTTCCGGTTCTTTCAAACCAGGAACTCTCAATGAGACGAAAGAGACTGCTTTAGATTTTATAAAAAATAACCGTGCTGGTTTATTCAGAGGATCACAGGTAAAATTCACAGGACACGTCCAGAGCTCTCTCACCCCTCTACCTGCGCGCAGGCAGCAGAAAGCTGAGAAAGTCTGGACCCAACAACCTATATAATATTAATCATTTTTGGGCTAGCCCATGCTACAAGGGGCGTCAAACCGTGACGCCACCCGATAAGCAAGCTTTGCAGCTGCTCTATCATTTAGCCAAAACATGAGGAAAAGTCAAGGTGCGTGACTGTTGTTTTCGTGGTGTGTATCTAAAACAATTGGACATAACCTTACACAGTAAGACAAATATTAAGACTAGCATTAAGTTACTTCTCATACCTGTAGTTACCTTTCATAACTTTATCTTACTTGGTTATGCATATTACAGCTGTATTGATGATTGTCCAGAACTATTGAGCTTCGATTATTTTAATGCATGTGTTTCCCTTGCTTAAATATATCTTACAGCTATAATGAAGCAGAATCTGCTTACTTTGAGTGCTGTAACTTCTGTGTAGAGACTAGATGTCTGCATCTCTTTGTGACCAGACAGCCTATTTACATTTTAACAAAGCCCCACTAGCCCACACCTGGACACACATAGCATATCCCAAGTTCTGCCCCACCAGGAGGTGTCTTACACACACAGGGGGTCTCATCACCTGAGATGACCACTTGGCCAGTTTAGCATACTTATTGTCTCACACACACATAGGGGGCCTGCAATCCAGTTAACTCATTTTTCTGTGTGCTTGATCAAGACCAAGTTACCACATGAGAGACACACACACACACACACATACACCTAGACTTTAACACATTGAAACAAGGGGAGCTCCGGTTCACACCAAATGGAGAATAGGATCAAAAGCTGTTGAATGTTGTACCTCTGTCCAGGGCAG